CGCGGAGCGGCTGGGCCCGTGAGCCATGGCCGCTGAGCCTGTGCGTCCGGAGCCTGTGCTCCGCAATGGGAGAGGCCACAACAGTGAGAGGCCCACATACCGCAAAGAAACAAAAAACAAAAAAAAAAGAAAATAGTTTCCAGAAGCTGACCACCCACCTCTGAATGATATCTGTCAACAGCCAAGACATCATGACTCATCTGGACATGGTTTTTATCTAAAATATGGTAATTCACATGCATAATATGATTTAATACACAAAATTCTTGGCAATGCTAAAAGTGTGAAAAAACCATACTTTAAAACTTTATTTCAGAGGTATTAGTTCAGTGTTGAACAGAAAAATATCCAACACCCAATATTCACTATCACCTTCTGACTTTTCTAATTCTGAACGATCTTCAAGTCACCAAGAGTTAAGTTTGGGAAATATGTGATGGGAAACAACATTTCGATTCAGAGATTTTATAAAGTACCTTCAAAACTGTTTATCCCAACTGGAAGAGCTACCTCAGTTCAAGTTCCCTGTGACCTTAGTTGTAAAGCAAAGGGCACTTTTGTTCATGAAGAGAATATTCAAAGGCAACTAATAAAACAAAATCGTAAAGGCCCCCAAATCTCAAATCCATAATGCTGAAGCCATTTCTGCAGTCCTGAATTACGTACCTTACACCATCGTACGATGATGCCTCCGGGTTTCTCTATCAATTCTTCTATCTGTACTGGTGGGCGAGACGCTACCGTTCCATGTTTGAAAATATGGTCTTTCACTATGTTAAGAATTGAGTCATCCAACTGAGCAGATAAGCAAGGCACATCAACCAGTAAAGGCACCTCTGGTAAGCTGAGGAAACAAAGCTCATGTGTTTATAAGGCTTTTAACTGAGAGTTTAAAATACAAGGGAGTATAGCCTTGAAAAACTGCAAATCACTATGCTGTACACCTGAAACGTATACAACGCTGTAAATCAAATATATCTCAATTTTTAAAAAAATAACAAGGAATATTTTATTTATTTATTTTTGGCCGCGCTGCACAGCTTGTGGGATCTTAGTTCTCAGACCAGGGATCAAACCCAGGCCCTCAGCAGTGAAGGCGTGGAGTCCTAACCGCTGGACCGCCACGCAATTCCCCAACAAAAAATACTGTAGATCAGTCACATACTGTAACAGTGCAGAAGCCCCCAGTAAATAATGCTACTGGCAGTGGGGGTTTTGCAAGACATTACATTAAAATTCTCTTCCCAAATAAATAAAAGGAACGAGAGAAAATGGGTAGGATCACAACTGTCAAGTTTATAGCAAAAGATCTGGTTTACTGAGCTAGGACGCAGGTTTGTTTGTTTTAATGGAAGTGTAGTTGACTTACAACGTTGTGTTAGTTTCTGCTGTACAGCAAAGTGATTCAGTTACACATATATATACATTCTTTTTCATATTCTTTTCCATTATGGCTTATCACAGGATATTGAATATAGTTCCCTGTGCTCTACAGTAGGCCTTCGTTGTTTGAGCTATGACTTTGTTCAGATTTTTTTAAATTAACAATTCTCTTACACATTAGGATTGTAGAAAATCGGTAGTAATTCTATACCAGAGATTACAATCACAACTATTTCATACTAGTAATACTGGTAATGGGCAGTGAAAACTTGAGAAATACATTTTCTATATCCCTGAATCCGAATTTTTAACAGGCGAAAAGAAAAGCGGACAGCTTAAGCCCAAGAGACACTAACTCTTTTACCTGTCCAACTGGATGTGTGAGGCCTTTTTGGTAAAGCTCCACAGTTTTTCATTCTGTTCTCCTACACCACCCAGAATGGCGATCTCACCTACAATCAGGAATAAGAGAACTAGTACAGGGAAAAATGGTCACATTATAAACTAGTCAACACAACCCGTGTCTAAGTGGGTCTCTGGTTCTCTTGAAAACAATTCTTAAGTGATGTCACAAATTCCCCAAAAGTAAACATAGAAACTATTTTAGGGACTTCCCTGGTGGCGCAGTGGTTAAGAATCCGCCTGCCAATGCAGGGGACACGGGTTCAAGCCCCTGCCCGGGAAGATCCCTCATGCCGTGGAGCAACTAAGCCTGTGCGCCACAACTACTGAGCCTGCATGCCACAACTACTGTGCCCGCACGCCTACAGCCCGTGCTCCGCAACGAAGAGAAGCCACCGCAATGTGAGGCCCGCGCACCACAACGAACAGTAGCCCCCACTTGTCGCAACTAGAGAAAGCCCACGCGCAGCAATGAAGACCCAATGCAGCCAAAAATAAACAAACAAATAAATAAATAAGAAACTATTTTAGAAACGACTTTAAGGTTAAACGCAAGAGGAAGGGCGTACACAATGACAACATTCTGCCAGAGACGAAAGATTCTGCTCTACAAATGGAAACTTGGTTTGTCAACCAATTTTATGCAAGGCATAAGTCCCAGGGACCTCTTCCCATCTCCCCTACAGAATCTTTATCAACTCCAATAGGAGTCAGTGCAAATATTATCCTGACACAAGCAATAGGGTGAAGGGTCATATAAAGGAAATATTATATAAAATCATCAGAAAATGATCAACATCTCTGTCCTTCCACAGCCCTAAAGAACACTACTAGAACTGTTTTCCATCTCAGTATACCCTGGAGTTACTCAAGTGTTTTGAGACCATATGACATGACCTTCCCCCCTTACCAAAAGGAAAACAGACACACTGAACACTGCCTCAAAATCCTAAAAATTTCATAAATAAGTTTTTAATCCCTCGGAAAGGGAGGGGAGGAAAAAGTTTGAAATGTAAAACATTTCTGAAGTATTAAAAAGAAAATCAGATGCTGCAACAAGCATGTATGTGCCTCAAAGGATTTATTTTCTAAAATAAAAACATTGGTCGAGCCCCGTGGTGATTGGTATACACTCCGGACCTGTGCTGAACTGCTGCTCAGTTTGTTTCCAAATGCTAAGCGCCCAGGGAAACACATTCTGAAGTCCTGCTAAAAATAATTTTCTCAAAGGCACTGTTATTGTCAGTGGCAAATAAACACTTCTCCTTGAAGATAAGACAAAAATGTAATTAGTGTGTAAAGATAACATTAGTACTATATTCTAAGTGGGACCAAAATGGGGACTAACTTCCAGCTGGAGTGACAGAGCTGGGAGCCAGCCACACACACTTTTCATCCTATGCCACGCACAGCACTCATCAAAGAACCAATGGTATTCAGTCTCCTTCCCTGGATCCTTTTTCCTCAACGCCCCTTTAAATACTGACGTCCCTCAGAGTCCCACCTTCTGTAGCCTCCTCTTCTCATATTGTACACTATCTCCTGATGATTTTACTTATTCCCATGGATTCAGAGGTGACATACACACCATTCACTGCCACATTGACATCTCAAGGTATGATCTCTCTCCTAAGCATCACACCCACATTCCCAACTCCTGGCATCTCCGGCACCTTGAACTAACATACCCCAAACCAACTGTCTAACTACCCACCCTCCCCCTTCATGTTCTGTGTCAGTCAACGGCACAATTCACCGGTCGTCTAAAATCACGCTGGGTTGGGTCATCCTAAATTCTTCTCTTTCTCCTCCATCCTATAACCAGGCAATCACCAATAATCAACACTTATGGCTCAGTAAGATCACCATTAATTCTATCTCCAAAATATTCATTCATTCATTTTTGGCTTTGTTGCTGCACGTGGGCTTTCTCTAGCTGAGGTGAATGAGGGGCTACTCTTCATTGCAGTGCACAGGCTTCTCACTGCGGTGGCTTCTCTTGTTGCAGAGCATGGGTTCTAGGTGCATGGGCTTTAGAAGCTGTGGTGCGTGGGCTCTGTAGTTGTGGCTCATGGGCTCTAGAGCGCAGGCTCAGTAGTTGTGGCGCACAGGCTTCATTGCTCTGCGGCATGTGGGATCTTCCCGGACCAGGGATGGAACCCATGTCCCCTGCGGTGGCAGGCAGATTCTTAACCACTGCGCCACCAGGGAAGTCCCTCCGAAAAATCTTAAAACCAGCTCTGCTTCATCTTCACCTGTCACCATCTCCATCGCTGCCTATCTGACTGCTGCCACAACTTCCTCATCGGTCACTTTTACTTCCTTACAACCTCTAACACAGTCTCCAAACTGTGGGCAGTGTCGTTTTTAAAAAATGCAAATCTGACTGTGTAACTCTGCTGCCTAAACTATTGCATTCAATATCTCCCAGACATGCCATTCACTTCACTCTTGACGTTACTTCTGCTTCCAATCGTGCTGTGACCTCCTTTTCTTCCTTTGTCTGCGTGATGAATTTCTTCAAGCCTCAGTGGAACTCCTCCTATAGAAAGCCATCCTACACTCTTCCAGAGGCAAGCGTTTCCCCTTCTGTGCTCCCGTGAGGTCTTAGATCTCTCTCATCGTGTGTGCTTCTCTCACTGGGCTGTGAACCCCAAAGGGCAGAACTTATTACCTTTTTATTTAATGTACCTGACAAAGACCTACAGGAGGGAAGGAGGGGAGGTAGGTAGATGTGGAGACAGGAAGGCAGCAAGGCAAGAACCGAGAATGCTTTAACCAAAATAACTGACTAAAGTTAGGGATATAACCAGTGTAATTTCAGGAGTAAACACGAATCCTACTTGTTAATCTCTAAAAAGAATGATGGCATTAAATCCTACAGACCATTGACACTCCGAAAAATATATGAACAGACTCAAAATGACCGTAAAATCACTGTGTTAACAGAACCATGAGAAAAATCCTTATTTTGTAAATGATTATAATTTACTCCTTATTTTGTAAATGATTATAATTAGTACATTAATTGCATTTATCCTAGGATACCTCACTGTACACCTGTCATCCTATATCACAAACTGTCCCAAGGTACGAACAGCCTAAGCACCCCACAGATGGCAGGAAGCCTGTTGGAACCCTGAGATACCAGCAGTGTCAATCTGAATGTGCTGCATTTAACGGGCTCCCTGGACTCCCCACCTTCTTTTTTTTCTTTTTTCTTTTTTTTTTTTTGTTTTGTTGCGGTACGAGGGCCTCTCACTGACGCGGCCTCTCCCGCTGCGGAGCACAGGCTCCGGACACGCAGGCTCAGCGGCCACGGCTCACGGGCCCAGCCGCTCCGTGGCATGTGGGATCCTCCCGGACCGGGGCACGAACCCGTGTCCCTTGCATCGGCAGGCGGACTCCCAACCACTGCGCCACCAGGGAAGCCCTCCCCACCTTCTTGGACTAAGTCCGCTGCAGTGTTAACTCCGTGCTCTATCAGCTTCTGGCAGTCATCTAGTGGTTTAATGGTCTCCTGTTCAATGGTGTCCACCTCTTGCAAAAGGGTCACCAATCGCTCATCCAGGAGCTTCCCAAGGGTTCCTTTCAAATCGTTAAAATGCTGTTTGAGGACATCTCTCGTCTGGGATGCACTCTCTTTGATCTGAAAAGAAATGACATAAAAACTCAGAATCAGAATCTCTAGAAGAGGCTAATCCACAGGCATCACCCCTAATAATCTCAAGGCACTACGCAACCATCACCTTCCATTCAATGATAAACCAAATGTGATTCATTTGTGCAAACTTGCAGAATTCCATAGAGCTGGCCTTCAGGTGAGACAGAATGGTCCCATCATTCACAACTATGTCAATCTGGCTAAGTTAAACACATCATGCCTCAATTCCCTTATTTGTCAAATGAGTATAACAATGCTCGCTTCATGGAGTTGCTGCAAGGATTAAATAAAAATAGTCTGTGTACTGCACTTGGTAAAATAACGGGCACACTTGTTCTCAATAAGTAAATGTTAGAAATAAATATTATCTGCACAAAGTAGTTCTTAGAAATAATACGTTTCAGTACCAAAAAAAAAATTAAATTAAGAGATTAAAATTCATTTTACTGAAAAGCAATATAAAGAAACGGTAGATTAAAAAACCACAATACAGGAACTTCCCTGGTGGCGCAGGGGTTAGGAATCTGCCTGCCAAAGCAGGGGATACAGGTTTGAGCCCTGGTCCGGGAAGATCCCACATGCTCCAGAGCAACTAAGCCCGTGCACCACAACTAGTGAGCCTGCACCCTAGAGCCCACGAGCCACAACTTCTGAGCCCACATACCACAGCTACTTAAGCCCACGTGCCTAGAGCCCATGCTCTGCAACTAGAGAAGCCACTGCGATAAGAAGCCTGCGCACCGCAACGAAGACAGAACACAGCCAAATAAATAAATAAATTTATATTAAAAAAAGGAAGAATAGCTATTTAAAAAACACAATACAAAAAAAATCACTTCATGGACAACATGCCCTCATTATGGTAAAAGAAAACTAAGAATTTATTCACAATCCAAAAGGTTCAGAGGAGGCAGAAGACAGATGTTCAGGAAAAACACACCTTCTGGGACAATGGCTTCATCCTTTTTCAGTCATGGTCCTCTTTGCAAATCTCAATGAGAGGTTTATGAACCTTCTTCCCAGAAAAATGAATAAACCCTACCCAAAAGACATTTATTGAATTTCAGAGATTGCAAATTCCCTCAGATCCCAACCATGGCTCGCTCAGAGCAGTAATTCTGAAACTTGCTTTGCAGAAGAATCATGTATCATACAATTGCATCCTGTTATAGTTTAGATGGCAGGGCTCCATCCCAGAACCAGCTTGGAGAAGGGGCTGGGGGAGTGTATGGGCAGAGTTCTTTTTCACAAGCACACCTGTGACTCTGCAGCCCACACTCTGAGAGACAGTACCCTAGGTTCACAGAGCCCATATTAAGAACTGCTGTTCTAGAAGATATAACAGGAAAATCCTCACATCTCACAGATATTCTGAAAACAGGTCAGTTGTCTATATAGACACCGGATTTTTTTTTTAAGAATACAGGTAAGACACAATTCACTTTTTCTCACTTAACAGGAAAATTCTAACTATAAGCCAAACATTCAGTTGCATTAAAGCAAACTCATACTTTACTTTGCAGATATTATATTAGCTTCCTAAGACATGTTATGTTTACTACCCTAACCCTTTGCTAACTTGATCTTAGCAAGAGCATTTGACATCCAAGAAAAATACACCAAGAAAAGAACATATCAAAATATGGATAAAGTACAATATTTCAACAGTTAATAGAGAAATTTAGAAAACTTTCTATTCTCTAACACTAAAATTAAAAACAATACAAAACTGTTGTCCAGAAATGTTCACAACCATGTAAAAACAAAAGATGCCCACGTCTAAGGACTACAAAGAAACACAGGGAAAAAAAAATAGTTTGATTGGCTGGGGTGAGGAGATCACAGAAACAATTTTTTTCCCCTTTTGACATTAATGTAAGTTATGATGGTATATGTGCGGTAAGTGAAAGAATTTCTTAAATCATAAAGAAAAAGAGAAATCCTAATTTAAGTTTAATTGTTAACTAATCTCTGTAAAGTTACTAGAGAACTTCTAAACCCAAGACGAAGTTTAAAAAAAATCAGGGGGCGGGTATATTCAAAATCTCCTTGATTTGGTGCATCACCAACTGTGGGATCCTTGAGAATCAGGCCCTAACATACATAGCACCTAGCAAATAAATGTTCAATGAAATTAAGTTAATCGTGTATGTTTTTAAGACCTTTTAAAAAGAACCAGGAAAAGAATGCCTTGTGATTTTGATATATCTCACCTGGAATATTGTTAGAAATGCAAAATCTCAGGCCCCACCCAGATCACAAGCTGCATTGGTAACAAGATCCCCAGGTGATTCATACCGGCCTTACAGATACCAGAGTAAATGAAGACAATGTGTTGGCGCACCCTCACCACCGGGAGGAAATTCTGCAGTCGAGCGCTGTACCAGTGAGGTCCTATCTCCCTCTTCAGCCGACACCGCACACACAGGAAGTGCATTAGTTAGGTAAAGTCAATTTCCTCTTTAGGAAGAATTCAAAAGCTCCTTCAACTGCTGCAGAGCTCCACTACGTTTTGTTTTTGTTTCAGAACCTCAGAAAAAAAGGAAGTGTGTGAGCACAAAGCAGTGAGAGGGCCAGCAAAGGGAGAATCCATTTCCAAATCCACCTCCCGCAATTTCATTATAAATTTGACTCCTTTTTGTTCATAGATTCCCGACCACTGCTGTTCCAAACTTGACACTACCTTGGCATCATTTTCTTCTCCCTGAAACAGTTCATAATTCAAAGCCACAGCCACCTTTAATTGAATCATGTAACTAATCAAGTTCATTCGCTTGGCTTTTAATAAAACTAATTTTAAAATGCAAACTTTGCTGCTGAGTGAATTTCTTCATATTTGAGGCGGTACCATGGTCCAGTGTGCTCACTGTTATAGCTCACTCAATCTTCCCAAGAACACTGAGAGGTAGGTCTGTATTGTCTATGTTGAAGAAAGTAAAGCTCAAGGAAGTCAAATAACTTCCCCACGGCTTCCCAGTGCCAGAAACAGTGTGACTCCAAGGACCATGGTCTGTCCACTACACCAAGCTGGTTAGTGCTTACAGACCCCATTTTAAAGCATTCCCATAAACCGGTAAATTATGTATTGGATGAAGACATTTCCTGCTGCAATGTGTATTTCTTGTCCTTGCATAAAGAATCATGTGGTAGATTCCACATATGTGTCAGCAAATGGTATCTTTCTCTTTCTGACTTACTTCACTCTGTATGACAGATTCTAGGACCATCCACCTCACTACAAATAACTCAATTTCATTTCTTTTCATGGCTGAGTAATATTCCATTGTATATATGTGCCACATCTTCTTTATCCATTCATCTGTCGATGGACACTTAGGTTGCTTCCGTGTCCTGGCTATTGTAAATAGAGCTGCAATGAACACTGGGGTGCATGTCTTTCTGAATTACAAATTTTCTCAGGGTATATGCCCAGTAGTGGGACTGCTGGGTCATATGGTAGTTCTATTTTTATTTTTTTAAGGAACCTCCATACTGTTCTCCATAGTGGCTGTATCAGTTTACATTCTCACCAACAGTACAAGGGAGGGAGACGCAAGAGGGAGGGAATATGGGGATATATGTATACATATAGCTGATACACTTTGTTATACAGCAGAAACTAACACACCATTGTAAAGCAATTATACTCCAATAAAGATGTTAAAAAAAAAATGTGGTAGACAACCACTCAGGGCAAAACAACTGTGATGGTTTGTAACAAAGTAAATTTAAGAAAATACAAATGATACACAACTCAAGGTCTCAGAAGGGAAACTGTAATATACATTGTTTATGTTGATTAACAATATTCAGAACGAATTTTCTACTAAAACCTCTCCTGTAACAGACCATTAAATCTTATTTACAAAGTTTCCACTGCAGGTGACTCTAATTCCAAAGCAACTGTATTTTTAAAGTTTTAACATGAGGATAAGTTCTCAAAATGCCAAAAAGTCATCAAGATTATACATCAATACTAAGCCATGCAAAAGCCTAGAAAATATATACTTCACAGCCCTCCAAGACAACAGTGACTGATATTTTCTAGAGTTTAGCTACTAAAATGTCATAAAACCTACCTAGAATCTGATTTAAGACACCTCTGGTCTTAAGTGGCAATATACAGTTGCTCTACCTATAACACAACACAACATGTGTGTGTTTCAGGAAGTTAAGTAACTGGAATCTCCTCTACCTCCTCTGAAACATGCATTTTCATGACTTTATAGAAGAAAAGAATTTTTATCCTCCAAGGGTAATCTAAGAATTTATTTTCCCATTTGTTTTGCTTACAGGAAACTAACTAAAACTATTTTAAAATTAGAGACTGTCTTTACACACTATTAGCTAACAAGAACATAGGGATCAAAAATAAAAGACAAAGATAAAAAATAGTCAACTGAAATTGAAGAAGCTAACCAAAATGTTTCTTCTCAGTTCATATGAAATGTACTGCATTAGCTATGTGTCTTCACATTGACACCAAGATATTAGTCATTAAAAATAAAATAGCAATAATAACAATACAACAGCAGCTCCCACCTACTGAACACCTACTGTGTACCAGGAATTTATACCCATGGTCTCATTTAAATTCTACCACAACCCGATGAAAAGCTAGTCAAGTGGCAGGAAATCTGAACTGTCTGCTTCGTGTATGGACTCATATGTGCTGCTACATTTCCTTCTTGTCTCTTACAGTTAGGCTTTCTGTTTTTTTAAAAAATATTCATTTATTTATTTGGCTGCACTAGGTCTTAGTTGCGGTATGCAGGATCTAGTTCCCTGACCAGGGATCAAACCCGGGCCCCTGCACTGGCAGCGTGGAGTCTTAACCACTGCACTACCAAGGAAGTCCCTACAGTTATGTTTTTTTAAAACATGCTTATTAAAACTTTCAAAAAGAAAATCTTGATTATATTACTTGGTAGTCTGTTACATTAATGGCCCCAATGAACCAGGAACCATGCCTTGTGGTACTCATATCCTCATGCAGACCTCTCCCCTGGACAGGAGGCTGGGCTGGTGACTAGCAATGCAGTCACATGTGCATCGTTATAGAGTGGAACTGAGCTGTGCCAGCTCCAGGCCTCAGCCTTAAGACTACCTGGCAACTTCTGCTTCTGCACTGCAAGGATTCCTGAGCCACCGTGTAAGAAGCACGGCTATCGGGGCTTCCCTGGTGGCGCAGTGGTTAAGAATCTGCCTGCCAATGCAGGGGACATGGGTTCAAGCCCTGGTCCAGGAAGATCCCACATGCCGTGGAGCAACAAAGCCCATGCACCACAAGTACTGAGCCTGTGCTCTAGAGCCCGCGAGCCACAACTCCTGAAGCCCGTGTGCCTAGAGCCCATGCTCCGCAATGAGAGAAGCCACCGCAACGAGAAGCCCGCGCACCGCAATGAAGAGTAGCTCCCACTCAACACAACTAGAGAAAGCCCGCGCGCAGCAACAAAGACCCAACGCAGCCAAAAATAAATTAATTAATCTAAAAAAAAAAAAAAAAGAAGAAGAAGCATGGCTATCTTTCTTGAGAGAACAAGTGGAAGGGGGAGGAGAGTGAGAGGGGTGGGAGGAAGAGTGTGGGAGGGAGAGAGCTTGGCATCCAGGCTCAGCCATGCCAGCATTCCAACTAAGTCCTGCTACTACTTAAGGCTCCACACAGGTAAGTAAATGTTCTATCTTGAACATTCCAGCCTCAGCTGCCATCTGACTGCAATTACATGAGAGCTGCCAGCAAACTCAGAACTGCCCAACTGAGCCCTGGTTAATCCCCCGAACACTAAGCAAATGGTTGCCTTTTAAGCCATTATGCTTTGGCATAGTTTATTATGTAGTGACAAATAACCAAATCATGATAAAACAAATGTTTAATTCTTGCTTATCTGTATTAGTGAATAGGGTGCCTATAATCAAGACTACGAACAATCTAAAAAGAATGTCTGCAAAATCACACCCGCAACATTCATAAAGGCATTCATTCTATATTTATTGAGGTCTAGTGCCAGGAACTGGGGTTATAAAGATGAATAAGGCATGATCCTGACCTCAAAAAACCATCATTCTAGTAAAGGAGACAGTTGCATGCACATGTAACTATAGTAAAAAGTATTAAGTCCTTATGTAAGTGAGACAGCCACAAACGGCCATCAGAGCTCAAAAAGGTCATTCTGCTGGGAAAGAGAGTAGGAGACATTTAAAGAATAAGTTACCAGTTGGAGAAGTAGGGGAGGTCACCTTGAATAATAATAATATTTGGTGGCATTATTTCTATGGCTAATATTTATTAAGCAGTTCATATGTCCCAGGCATCGTGCTAAACGTTTTACATACATTTCTCATTTTAATTCCCACACTGGCCAAGTAAAGTAGGTACTATCCTTATCTACATTGTACAGATAGGGAAGTGAGGCATCAGGAAAGTTAAGTTTCTCAAGGTCTCACACCTAATAGGGGCAAATGCAAAAAAGGTAAAATAACTGCAAATATAAATGATTCATGGATACCCCTCAAAAATAAAAGCCTGTCCCAGGAATTCCCTGGTGGTCCAGTGGTTAGGACTCGGCGCTTTCACTGCCAGGGCCCAGGAGCCCGGGTTCGATCCCTGGCTGGGGAACTAAGATCCCACAAGTCACGCAGTGCGGCCCAAAAAATTAAAAAATTAAAATTAAAAAAAGTCTGTTCTACATTTGTTTGGCTTTAGATCACAAATTAGCCATATTATTTACCAGTTCTTCTGGTAAATAATAAGAACAGTTCTTCTCTATCAAATTTAAATTTACATTACACTCTATATTGAAAAACACAATTCTACACAGAGAGAAACTGGGTTCCTCTGTGACACTCACACACTTTTTGAGGTTAACGTTATAGATTCTGAGTGCTTGTTTAAATCCTCATTTATATCCTACATTTCAAGTGAGGTTTGGACTCAACAAGCAGCTTTCAGAGTGTCGTGTTTAAAGACAATTTGTGAAAAGACTTAAAAAAGGATGACTGAAAAGCCAATGTAAATATGTGGCTTTTGCACACAAATATATGTGCAGCTTTTTTTTTTCCCTTGGTAGTTGATTATTTAGTGTTGCTTCTAGAGCTCTGCTTCCAGTATTTTGGCATATTTGAGTCAATACATTTTCAGCCTACCACCAGCAAATGCTCCGTAAGTACCTATGTAGACTATTCACCTCCGCATTAAAAATTAGACTGTAAAAAAAAAAAAAAAAAAAAAAATTAGACTGTACGTGGGGAATTTTTCATAATGCTTATGATATAATGCTAACCAAAAGAAAACAACAAATATAAAGTTGCATATACAATAGTCTTTCAATTTGGCAAAATAATATGTCTAGAAGGATACACCAAAATGTTAACAGTGGTTGTCTGTAAGGAGTAGAATTATGGGTGATTTTCAGATTATTTCATCTGTTCTTGGTTTTCCCCAGCTCCAGATTTAACCTTTTCTTAGGACACTATAATAGGGGCATTTTAAGTACTACTGCAGTAACAGATTATTTTCAAACAGATTTTTTGGACTGTTTTGAAAACGGGTAACAGAAGGGGAAGTGGGAGATAAAAGAAGCAATAACAGCTTTCTTTTCTTTGCTGAGCTACTAAGACTTCCTGCCCTGGTTTTCTGAAATAACTTTTTTCCCCCCACTGAGTTCTCTACCTGTTCCAGTCTTTAACTAGTATGCTACGTGTTTTCAAATCCTGTGAGAATAATGATCTATGGAGAACCTGGTATTGCACATTAGGAATATCAAAGTTCCTAATAAGATCTTCAAAAAATTATCTGAAATCAGCTATTAAAAAATTGAAAACAAAATACTATGAGAGGGCTTCCCTGGTGACGCAGTGGTTTAGAGTCCACCTGCCAAGGCAGGGGACACAGGGTCGAGCCCTGGTCTGAGAAGATCCCACATGCTGCGGAGCAACTAAGCCCATGCTCCACAACTACCGAGCCTGCGCTCTAGAGCCTGTGAGCCACAACTACTGAGGCCTGCGTGCCTAGAGCCCGTGCTCCGCAATAAGAGAACCACTGCAATGAGAAACCCGGGCACCGCAATGAAGGGTAGCCCCCGCTCGCTCCAACTAGAAAAAGCCCAGGTGCAGCAACGAAGACTCAACACAGCCAAAAATAAAAATAAATAAAATAAATAAATTAAAAAAAAAATACTATGAGAGACAAATTGTCACAATACAGATGTTAAGACACGCTAGGACAAGTGCTGGCTTGAGATTGTC